GGCAAGGCACCAGAAAATCAATAGCTTCATACATTTATAACTGAGCATTTACCACATGAAAGGTTGCATCCTGAGACAGAAACTCTCTGTCTAGGAAGAACATCATTCTCTGGATTTTTAAACATCAGCCTGTCTCTCCTTCTCATACTACTAGCATCAGTAAGACCGAGCATGCTAACAACTCTTTACACACTTTCCATAGAGTGATTCTGAAAACATTCATTTTCCTCTCACCCTCAATAGAAGATGCTAAAACGCTTCAATCTTGCCCTCTTTGGTAGCACACCAATCTCCAACAATCGCCAGACTTCAAAAAAATAATGCATGCCCATCATTTATTTTTTTGTTTAAGCACACGCTTATTTCATATTTCACTTGGCTAGGTGTTCTTCAGAGCTTACTTGTCTCACTGCCTGTTTACCTTTGCACCTACTGATGCACACCGGTATTAATCTGGGAGGTACAGTCTCGGCTCTATCATTTACAGAGGACGGCTTTTAAGTCATCTTCTCTTTTGTATCTGGGGCACTATGCTGAAGTAACAGGCAATACACCCAGGCTGAAGAGCAACAGCTGGGCGTGTACTAGATCTGAATAAGGTAACAAAGGCTTATCTGCGTTGTTAAATTAATGGGTGTCTGAAATTGCAAGTGTGTGATTGCTACTAAATGACAGTACACTCGGGGGCAGCTTGTTTTGTCATTGAAAACCAGAAGGTTCCAGCAGGTAAGCTGCCTCGCCTGGCACAAGCAGTGGTCAGTGGAGTAAAGCCCCACAACCAAGAAAGCGCAGTACAGAACTGGTATGACCCCTGCGCAGACACAACTTTATGCTGCATTATACTGCTATGGTATAATACATTCCTGGCATTTTTGGTGCTGCTTTAGTATAAACTAGCAACAAGGAGCCACTGTGCTAGGATTCTTCTAAGGCTGGGAATAAAAAATTAGTAACATTTGATCCTATAGGCACTCAGCTATTAAAAAAGAATGACTGAACACATGAAAACCCACTATAATCTTAAACCCTTTTTATGTCAAAAACCTTTCAAGAAAGACACTGGGAAAAATTTAGCCCAAGTGGGGAATATACAACTGTACTAAAAATACTATTTTCTTGTTTACAGAGAAATAAAACCTGATTTCATGTGACGTTTCACAATCACAGCAAGCCTTCGGTCAGGTGCTGCTAAAGGTAACCAGGGTAAGCCTACTGGCTTGCCATCTGAAATTGCAGGGGTACAACAGACAGCCAGGAGCTGCATCCCATTACACAGCTCAGTGAAAACTCTCCAGCACAGAAAACACCAACTTTGCTGACTTGTGCTCAGACTGCCCCCTCAGCCTCATTCACCTGAGTACATGGACTGCAGAGTCCCTCCCCTGACATATTTGCCCCATCAGCAAAAAATCAGAGACTTCTACTGATCCTAGTCTTTTACATCTTGTATTTTCTTGAGAAGAATTAAGGACAACAGATTTGTTTTGCAACTGTGTTATTAAGACATCCCTCAAAGCAGACAAATCCTCAAAAAAACTTATTTAAATTAAAAAAAAAAAAAGTGTAATATAATAACCTTAGAAACAATCTGTCTATAATCTCTACAATTTTTCCAAGATTTATCTGGTTGTCAGCAAAACATCCCAATTCCCCTTTTATTGTCCACCTTCTTTATATCATTATGTTGAGTAAGTTTTTCCCATTATACTATTTTGCTCTGTTCACAATATTTTCCCTGGAAAAGAGACAGTAGTTAGACACCTTAGGAAGGAAAAATGATTATGTTAAAATACCCCTGGGAAATGAAAAGCATAAGCAAGCAGGAGGTAAATGTTTTAGCTAAATTAAAATGTAGTCTACCCTTTCTGTTTGGGGTATCAATTTTGAGAAGGTTTTTCATGGAGAAAATCTCCACACATGTTGGATAACCTTCCAAATCCAGGCAACACATTGTAAAATAGGCAACACATATGGTCTGCCTACGAGATCCAAGGTAAACAGAAGTTGCCGTCTCCCTGTTCAGAGGCTGGAAAGTTGCACCATGCCCTTCCACAGCAGCACAAAGAGAAGGGCACGAACCCTCGAGCAGCATGAAAGCACAACTAAAGCTGCAGCATGACTTCTAGGGCACCACACAAATAAAGTCAGTCAACAGGGTAGGAGACATGGCCACAGAGGGACTTCAAACACTGAAAAGGTAGAAATGTTGCCATGCAACTTGGGCATAGGCAGGTTTTTTTTTTGGAAATTGCACAAAGATCGAAGTGCTGTAAAACATCAGAAAGTTATCCATACCCTCTGCCCAGTCACAATCATACTAATTAACTCTCCTGCTAATTAAGCATTTTTCCCTTGGTTTCCACTGTATTTCTATAAACATCCACTACCAGCACTCTCCTTTCTCTCCGCTGAGTACTTTATAAGGTCACAAGTACATCCACTGAGACCAAATATTTCTATATATAGAAATAATTGCCTGTGGAATTAAGTGCACTTGCCTGGGTATCTAGTCCATACCAAACTTAATTTAGCTGATTTTCCTCATCTATTATATCCATTATTAGGGACAGTGTATGCTGCCAGCTGCAGCACTGCCTATCAAAGATGGAAACTAATTATCTAATTACGTGGCAAGGATGAGTTCCTCCGCAAGAACATTCACAATCATCAGATGCAGACAATCAAGTAAATTATCACAAGGAAGAACCAGTTCATCCAGACAGCTGAAGTAAAAGAAAGGTAGCGTATTCTAGGAATATCGCTTCTCATTAACCTTTTCAAATACATCCCATGCAAATGAAGCAAACACTTGAACAGGCCCCATCTCAGGAAAAGTGTGGTGAACAATGTGAGCTGATTATGAATATGTGAAATAAAATAAAATACTTCAGGGAAACAAAGTTGAGTTTCTGGACATGCTGTCTCCTAGGCCTGTGCATCTCAAAACAGGATTCAGAGAGAGGAGGAACCACCAGTAGTGGAAGCAGACCAAGTCATGGAGCTCTTAAGAAATCTCAACACATACAAGCCTGAGGATGCAGAAGGAGCAAGCCAATGTCACTGCAAGGCTGCTCTTTATTATCCCCATCATATTTGAAAGGTTGTGGGGAACGAGGGAGGTCCCCTATGACTGAAGGTGAATGTTATACCTGTCTTCAAAAAGGGCAGTAACAAGCCATGGAGGATGTACAGGCTGGTTAGCCTCACTCTGCTTCTTGGGAAAACCAAGGAGCAAATCCTCTCAGAAGCCACTTCTGAGCACATGAAAATGAAGGTGACTGGGACCAGTCAGCATGGACTTCTCACGGGTAAAAGCATGTCCAACCAACCTGGTTGCCCTAAATGACAGTATGACTGGATCTGTGATTAAAGGAGAGCATTGGATGTTGTCTACATTGACTTTAGCAAGGCTTTGGTACTTTATCCTACAGCATCCTGGTATATCCCAGTTGGGATGTTATAGCCTAGAAAGACAGACTGTTAGCTGTGTGAAAAATCAGCTGGATCAGACTTAAAGGCCAGTGGTTAACAGTATGTATCTACCTGTAGGCCAGTTACAAGTGGAATACCTTGCTTAATACCTTTTATCCTGAAGGACTTAAAAATATGCACCCACTTCAACTCTCAGATGATAACCAACTCAGAGGTGCATTCAACACCCTTGAGTGCAGGGCTGCTGTTCAGAGTGCCTTAGGCTGGAGGGAGGAATACGCCAACAGGAGGCTTATGTGGTTCAGAAATGACAAAAGCCAAGCCCTGCTTGTGGGAGGGAAGAGCCCCTGGCTATGAAACTGTCTGGGGACTTAGCTGCCTGGGGAGCAGCTCTGCCAAAAATGACCTGAGGGCATCAAGCTGAGCTCGAGCCACCAGCGCACCCTGGCAGCAAAGATGGCCAACAGCATCCTAAGTCATGCCAACAAGAGCACATCAGTGCACACTAGATCGGGTGAAGGGGTTACCCCCTTCTAAATATAGTCTAACACAAACTGGGTAATGCATCCAGTTTTGAGCCCCGTGATGCAAGAAAAACGTTGACAAACTGGCACAAGTTCAGAGGAGGGCCACCAAAGCAGTGAGGGGGCTGGAGTACTTGCCCAGTGAGGAGAGGCTGAGGAAAAAGGGCCTGTTCATCTTGGAGACATGCTGGCTTTGTGTGTGGGGGACCACAAAGCCGCCTGTCAGTGCCTATGGGGAGGGCTGCTGAGAAGACAGAGCCATGCTCTTTACTGAGGTGCATCCAGGACAATGAGTGATGGTGGTCATGAATTTAATCAGGAGAGGTGCTGACTTGATACACAGGGAGGGGGATGCCATTGTAAGGCCTATTTAAACACTGGACTCTGCTGCCTAGAGAGGTTGGGGAATGTCTGCTCTTGGGCCCAGCTGGACCCAAGCAACCTGGTCTGAATTCACTATCAAGTCTGCTTGGAGAGGGAAGTTGGACTGTAGGTCTCCTGAGATCCCTTCCAGCCAGCAAGGTCCTTCCAGAGACAAAAGCTCTAACCCCTAGAAGGCAAACTGAACAAGATGATTTTTCTTCTCATGAGGAATGCCAGTCTCATCTTGTTTAAAAGACCTGGAGAGAATTATTTTTTTTTTTTTTTAAAACGGATTCCACTGCAATGACTATTTTCTACTTATCATAGCCCTCCAGGCGGATTTCTCAACATTTAAGTTTTTATCAACATGATGATAAGATCAACAGTATCGCCTCTACAGCAGGCTTGGTCTGAAACGGATGATGTGACCCAGGCCAGGATACGTACAGATTTAGAAGGAACAGGCTTACCCTCTACCTACTATGTTTTACTCTGGTGTATTCAAAGTCATTCTTAGTTTACATCTGCACATACAGCAGCCATGTGGCCCATGTGGGCCCAGTGGATTTCTTGATGCCCTTGGGAAAGAAGTTTCTACACTCGAAACAGACAGATATTTTCAGAAGACCTCCAAACTATCACAAACAAACAAACAAATAAATAAAGAGGGCGTTTACTTACTTATTCCTTGAAAAAGTTCTTCAATGTTAACAGCATTCTTTGCACTGGTTTCAACAACAATTGCACCTATAGATTCTGCATATTCTTTGGCATCCTTCACAGGAACTTCCCTACCAAAAAAAAAAAGTTAAAAATTTATAAATAAAAGAAACCAAATTTTCAAAAAATAATTCCATTTTGGGAAAAAAAAAAAAGACCTCAAACAGCCTAATCAGAAAAGCATCAGCATGCTTTTCTTTCCTGCAAAAATAGTACTATATTTCTTCTTATTATGGCATTTGGGTCATCATATTCAATATACCAACATTTCACCAATGATCTATCTGCAGCTTTCTTGGACTTGCTGCTGAAGCAACACCTTGAAAAAAGGATGATAACTTAAATGACAACCCCATTTGTTTGCTTTTTAAATTTGACTCCGATAGGAAAAGTATTAAAACATGAGAGAAAAGACATACAACTCTGCTGATCCAGGCATCAACCAGCACAGTCCACACCAGCTGTTTAAACAAGATAGGGTATGATTGTTGTGGAAGAGAACGGTAAGAACATGGTATGTCCGTTTGCAAGCAACAAGAAAACAAAAGAGATTCCCAAAGAAATATGAAAAGCCATCGACTCTGAGCACATTGGCAAGAGGAACCTGGGAGTGCCAGATTCACTGGGGGAAGACCACCATTCTGTGCCATGTCACCAAAGTGGCACCACCTTAAAATCATTGGTAGAACATCCTCGTTTTGCAGCCAATATTTCATATGCCAAAAGCTGGTAAATGCAGTTTACAGCATGCAAAAGACCTCTGCTTCAGACACAAAGCAAGCCCCACACTGACCTTGTATCTGCCTGATCCAGGTGGCAAAGCTGAAACTGCTCGTGTCCACTGCTGCCTGTAACCACTGCTATTCCTGATTCTTCAGCAACGGGTCAGAATCAGAGACTGAACACGCCAACAAGCACCCAAGGGACACCCAATCAGGGAAGCACATTTTGAAACACCAGGCTGCCAGCACTATTTTTCTTCTAGTTGTTCAATACATCAACTAGTGTGTTTTGTGTGGCTTTACAGCTGTCTGCTGCACATGCAGAATTTGCACCAACTCCTTCACCCCACAGCTTCAATGTACCAATTCAGAGACTCAGTACAATTCCCTCCTAGTATGAGTGCCTTGGACTTTAACAGAAGGTACCTAGGCGGGAGCACAGCAATGCACTTTCACAATTAGTTTATGGAGGTATGCGTTTTAAATAAATCAGATCTGCTGCTCATGGGAAACATGCAGAGAGGCAGAATAATTGCCCTATTTATTAAAAATAGTTTTCAAAGAATTAGACTGCAATTCCAGCACCTGGATTCAGAGTTTGTTTCCATTACTTGCTTCTTTGTATTACACATCATCCTATTGCAGAAGACACAGGGGAGGCAGCATTCCCCTTACTGTATTTGAAATGGCACCTTGCCCTTTATTATGAAAGGTACCACCATCTGCAGATGGCCCTGGAGATAAGAAAACAGGAACTTAACTATGTAACATATTCAAACAACAGTAAAGGAAGAAATCTGAGAGCATAGGGTTATATAATGAATACTTTCAACTTGCTGTAATTTAGATGAGAAAGCAAACTTCAGGAATCAAGGAAAAGCGAAAACAGCAGCACATAACAATATTCCAAGGAAGTTTCACAAAACTTCTCGGCCTTCTCTGATGACATATCTAAAGGAAGCCTATAAATGTCCACAGCACGTGGGCAATAAGCATCATGCCATCCAGCGCTGCCTGCACCAAGAAAGCTGCATACATCAGCTGGAGTTATCATCATCTAGATGTCAACATTGCTAAGATGCTACCTTGTCAAAAAGGAAAAGCACAAATGCTTGAACTCTAAACCAAGAGATGAACACATGCAAGAGGGGGTGAAGAGGGAAGAAGGCAAGAATCATCAGTGGAGTGCTGACAAAGTGTTATTCCAGGGTTACTGGGAGTTAGAGGAATACCTAATATCTGAAAGATGTCAATCATTTCATTTTATCCTTTCCAAATCATTCTACTGATTCAATCTCCCTTGTGATTTTCTGAATAATCACTGAATAAAAAAAATATTCTGGATGCACAGAGGGAAGATCTGAGCATGAAATTCTGTTGAATTCTCTTAACCAAAGATCTGGCAATTTCCAGTGAACACAATGTGTTAAGAAGGTGCACCATATTTTTAGGGAAGTAAACACTTCCTAGTTTCTGTTATGATTATTGACTTCTGTAATGCTCAAAAAATATTTTGGACACTTAACAACATTTTAACATTGAAGTCTCAGCTCTTGTCTTTCAAACTACTTCTTAATGACCTGTCAGAATTTCAGGACGCATATCAGAACAAACACTCAACAGTACTAGAGTTGACAGTACTATAACAAAGATGAGGATTTATACTAAACAAAATTGCCTGTCTACCTGTAGAAATTACTTCAAAGCAGAGAAGAAATTTACTTCAACAGAGTGCTGAAAACTGTTGATAGCCTATTAACAACACTGAGAAATGCAGCATGACCCCTGAGCATCCCAAATCCACCTTGGCAGGTCAAAACTGAATTTTAGATGCTAAATGAGGAGGGTAACATGGTCAGTGATTATGAGAAATAGTATCAGTCTCTTCCCAAAGGAAGATAATCAGTTCTTATTGCTTCCATTCATTCCTCCTCACATATCTCCCACAGTCACAGAGATGGCAGAATCAAATCTACCTGAATCAGGTCAGCTTGTCCCCTTTTGCATCCATTCATATTGGTCTTAAAATCAGCTGTCTCTCTGATATCCAGCAAAACACCTGTCAAAAGTTCTACAAAACCAAAGAGAGATGCCAAAAATGTATACAAACAGCAGCTTGCTCCTGTGTGCTCACATCATCTTATTTTTAAATTCTCTGTGCCCAAAGGCATGTGTATTTTCTACTCATTGGAAAAAATCTGATAAATTGGTGACACATTTAACTTAAAATCATTTTTACTGAAGTAAATTTGATGACATAAAACAGTCAGAGAATGCATCCAGCTGCATGTGTTGCATAAACAATCAGATTTCTGGAAGAACTGTGAAAACATATCACGTAGGAGATAGCCTGCTCTCTATTTTTCCACCAAAATCTCTTTAGCTGGACATCGCTGGATGACGTTAGAAAGAAAAAAGGCCGGGGGATGCAGAAAGAATAACTGCCTGAAAAAATATTCTCAAAACTATTTATAATTATGTGGAGAAAAAAGCCTCCTCCAGAACATTTTGTGCATGGAAGAGCTGTACTGGCTGAACAGGAGCTGAACAGACGATCAGCAATAAGTAAACAACAGGTAGTGCTGGAGAATAATGTGGTGGGAAGAGCACAGTCGCTCTGTGAGGAACCCCAGTATTCTCACATTACTGGGGTGCAGGTTTTTCATCATGTCCCCAATTTACCCTGCCTCTGGTGGAACAGCATTTAAAAGCTGGCTGCCATGGCAAATGCTACAAAAAGCAGGGGTAAGGCTGGTTATGGATTCATTTGCAATTGGTGCCATTTGTCACAGTCTCCAAACTTATTACCCTTGATTTAATCAGGCAGTTGTATTGCTGGGAACACTTAAGCAATAAATTTAAAGTGACGCTCAGGGCAACTGGGAACTTTGATTTGTGCTAACTGGCTTTTGGTTTTATTTTTATAATTGTCCTTTCCTCTTTTTTTCTACTTCATATTTGGAAACCTTTAGTTTTGTCTTATAGGACTCGGTTTCACCATGTTGACAAGCATATCACAACATCACTTAGGAGATACCAGTATACTATCTGTGCCCCCAATTCTTAGCCCAACAGAAACCAGGAGTCTTCTAGCGTAAGGGCTTGTTCAGGTCTTACAGAAAGTAGTGACTGACAGTTTTGTGTTGGTTCGTGGCTGACAGTGGCAGGGAAGGGGGAGAGGAGGAACAACAACAAACCCACACAAGTCCAATCCTTGTATATGCCCTGATTCAATAAAGCACTGCATTGCTTACCTTCAGTTACACAAGGGCTTCAGTGCTCTGGTGAGCTGAGGCCAATGTAATGGTTATAAAACAACATGGGGATATATCTGAACAACCATGAGGTCCTAAGAGGAAAGCATCAAATGCAGCCATTGAGTCTGTACTCATAGTCGAAACAAGAAATAGAGTCGTGGACTGACACAAAAGATCACTACTGTACTGAATAATGTGCTTCCACTTCCAGAAAAGATAAATGCAAATCCAAAATAGAGCTAACAAGCCAAAGAGTGACTCTAGCTTCACTCTCATCCTAAATAGCATCATCTTGGCTCTTCTGCAAGAGGGTGGATTCAACACTCTCCTCTTTTACCCAGGAGGTTCTTTGATTCACTCAGGTGACAAGTTTTACTTGAGCTTACGCCCTAAGAAAAACAAAAATACACTTTCTACATACATCCAGTATTATGGGACAGTTTCAGTTGTTGCAAAGCACAAAGCACAAGTTTTTTTTCTCAAAGCTTCTCTGTGAATAACATTATTCTACCTCAGACCCATCCTTCCAGCTTTACACTGCTGGGTTTGCTCATCACTTAGTATATTCTGCACCTTTTAATGTGAAAGGAAGTTAAAAAAAAAAAGAGATTAATTTTCCCTTCCAAATGATCCAGCAGCTAAAGGGTGTAGATTGTACAAATACACAGTAAGGGTAGTAAAAGAGAGGTTAAAAAAAGAGTACATAATTCAAGTTGTGCTGCTGCTGGTGAGGCTGTATATTGGTAGAACCACTGGTGTTAGGAAAGACTCCATACAGCTGACCAGAAGTATATCCTCCTATAACAAAACAACAAACTGGCTACCTGAAGGAAGGAAACAATATAGTTACTGCAATCAAGGCAACAACAAAAATGGATGTATTACCTGATATCAGAAAGATCACATTTGTTTCCAGCGATGGCCATTACAATGTTCTCAGGACCATGTTCTTTTAGTTCTTTCACCCATTTCTTCAAAGTATGAAACGAATCCTAAGTCAGTAAAATAACAAATAAGCTAACAACCTAGTCTCCATTGATGTATTTGCTTATTTTTTTAAGTTAGAGGAACACAGCTTTAACATATTAATATATTAATAATTTTATAGATTATAAGACCAGAAGAAGATCGCTCTATGTAATCTGCTTTTCAAACTTTAGGTCATAAGATTTCCTCAAATTAACTCTTGAACTTGGACACTTCCCCATTTGCCCTGTATGGCTGTATTAGTATCACTGAAGGGAGAGCACTATCAGTCATTTGGGAAAAAAAAAAATCCATCTTGCTTTAATGATCAGTGCTGAATATTAAGCATCAGGAAGTGAAATACACATTCACCTTCCTCTCCTATTTTACTCTTTTTATTCTGAGAGCTGTTTCACATAGACTCAGAAAGGCTGGCAAAAGAAAATTCTATTCTTACAATGCGTTACGAGATCAACTGTAAGATATTTAAATTAAAAATAAGTATCAATACAGCACAATTCACCCTTCCTCATCTTTTCTTGGCAAATTAGCAAAGGACAACAGTACCACTGTGCAACAGTGGCCACTGTATCAGCCACAGATCATTACACTAATGCACTTGAGAACTAACCCAGACCTCTCAACCTAGTAGTAAATAATTCAGTTGGCAGGAAAGGAATAAAATGCTAGAGAACTGTCACGACCATCCATCCATTAATGCCTCCTCTAACTCAGCATTATCAGCAGGGGTTTCTTTCAAAAGCAGTGGAAGAGGCATTCAGCTATAACCTCTTAGACTCCTCTGCCTGAGGAATGAGACAGAGCAGTTTAGAATCTGAAAATACAATTTTCATTCCAAATTAATAATGTTGAGACAAAGGTCAGAGACTTATTACTTCATTACAGGTTACAAAGTTAAGACATGAGTTGTGCAATGCAAACATGAGATGATATGCTCAGTTAAAAATAATTAGGCTTAAAATCAGTAATATGCAAATAACTGAATTTCTGCTCAGTTGGTAAAGCAGCCAGCTGCTTTTTGTGGCAAAAATTCAATTCCATACAGAGAACATAGGTGGTCGTGGTGGGAGGGTATACTGCAGGATATTATCCTGTCTGCTTAGCCAGAGGAAATCCAAAGAAACTTTGACAAAATGCAATTGCCAATCTTTTGTCCAGATGAAGTATCAACAACACAGAAGGATGACTAATGTTTTTAAGGCAGCACAACACTTGCATCTAAATCTACACAAACTACAGATGCATGTAAGTCCCACTGACATTAACAGAGATTAACATACAAATATTTATTCAATTGTGGGGTTTAATTGCAACTCTGGCCCAAGCAGAGGAATTAACACAGATGAAAAGCATACAGAAGGTCTTACCTGTTTGGTGATATCATAAACGATCACGGCTGCTGCCGAACCTCGGTAGTACATTGGAGCCAAGGAATGAAACTGTTAAAACATAACCCACCCCAACAAAAAATAACATTAATAAATCAGAATTATCACACACTTTGTCAGGTCACAAAGACTTGCTATGGCAGGACGACTGACTTTCGTATCATAGAGAACAGACTTCTTCAGTGGTTACACACCTCTAATTTGCCTTAAATGCCAAGAAAGCAGAGCTTCCTTATGTCCTGCTGTTCTTCATCCTGCTGGATTTACACAATCCGCACTTACTGGCTCAGTGCATCTTTTCCCATTACAGGGCATGGACTCTGAGGACAAATTTTGACACGAAGATCACAAACACCTGAAGGCCTAATCTGACAGCATATAGGCCCCTTCCCCTGGCAAATGGCAACACTTTGCTTTGTAGTTGTAACAGGCTGGATTCAGACTGGGTTTGAGTTTTATAAAACATTGCAAATGACTTGGATAAAGTTATCTTGTCAGAAAACTCTGAACACCTGTCATGTTTACTCATCCTATACTATGACAGATATTTTTAAAAACATGCATTCTTGCAATTTCAGTTACTCTTCAGCTTTTTGTTTCAATGGAAACATCTTTTAACAGCAACAAAAAAATAGCAATAAATATGTTTATTATTACAACAGCTTGCCAATGAACAGCATAATTTTCATAATTTACCATGACTAAGAAGCTGATTTAGAATTTCAGCTTATAATTACAGAGAGAAAGGAAGTCAAAAAGCCCTTCATCTTAAGCAAACCAAAAATAATCTTTCTTGAAAAAATACATTTAGTCTCACTGTACTTATGGAGCCATTTTACAAATTTTAACTTGCAAAGTGATCTGCAAAAGCTTCATATAAAGCTGCAGCTAATAACTGAGGTCAACGCCAAAATCAAATGCATTATTAGGGCAGGGTATGAAACTCAGTACACAGTAAATGTGCACCGATCCATGTGTTCAAACCTCTGCAGATTTACTGGACACATCTTTTTCTCAGAACTGTACCTACAGAGTGAGCATTTAGGCCTTGCAGCCTCCACATTTCTCACTGTTTCACATGCAATGTATAAAGAGAGTTATTTGTAATACCGGTTCATTTTCCAGTTTGTAAGCTGCTTCTCACAGATCACACACCCCAGTTCAAGGTCGATACTTTCTCTTCTAGCAGTAAGGATGCACAGCAGCAGTGACAGATGGTCAAGTGCTGAAGTGTTTTGGGGAGCGAGGCAGGTGGGAGAGCTCATTAATAGGAGAAAACAGCAGGAAGGGGGATAAGGAATCAGTCAAGAAGCGTGGTCTGAAGAAAAGGGATCAGCCAAGATCCTGAGGGAGTTAGGTAGATGCATGCCTTCCGGGCTTTTAGTATGTGGCTTTATTACCTACATGTTCAAGGCAATAAATGCTTCCTAGAATTTTTAGGCTTCCAGATCATGACAGAAATTTCCACCGTGTTAGAACAGAATAGAAAAGACTATTTCTGTTGGAAGGCACCTACAACCATCATCTAGTCCAACTGCCTGACCAATTCAGGGCTGACCAAAAGCTAAAGCATGTTGTTAAGGGCATTGTCCAAATGCCCCTTAAACACTGACAGGCTTGGGCCATCAACAACCTCTCTAGGAAGCCTGTTCCAGGGTTTGACCACCCTCTTGGTAAAGAAATGCTTCCTAATGTCAAGTCTAAACCTCCCCTGACTGATACATCTTTGAACCATTCCCACGTCCTGTCACTGGATCCCAGGGAGAAGAGCTCAGCACCTCCCCCTCCACGTCCCCTCCTCAGGAAGCTGCAGAGAGCAATGAGGTCGCCCCTCAGCCTCCTCTTCTCCAAATTAGACAAACCCAAAGTCCTCATCCGCTCCTCACATGACATGCCTGACAGCCCTTTCACCAGCTTTGTTGCCCTCCTCTGGATGCATTCAAGGACCTTCATGTCCTTCTTAAACCATGGGGCCCAGAACTTTGCACGGTACTTGAAGTGAGGCCGCACCAATACTGAACACAGAGGGATAATCACCTCTTGTGTCCGGCTGGTTATGCTGTGTTTGATGCACCCCAGGGTGCTGTTTTCCCTCTGGGCTGCCAGAGCTCACTGCTGGCTCATATTGGGCTTGATGTCAACTGGCACCCCCAGATCCCTTTCTGCAGGGCTGCTCTCCAGCCACTCCTCTCCCGATTTATACTTGTGCCTGGCATTACTCTGTCCTAGGTGCAGAATCTGGAATTTGAACTTGTTAAATTTCATCCTATTAATCATAACCCAGTGCTCCAATCCATCCAGATCCCTCTCTGCCAGGCCTCCTGTCCCTCAGGAGTGTCAACAGCACTGCCCAGTTCAGTATCATCAGCAAACATGCTAATGGTGCATTCAACTCCTGCATCCGGATCACCGATAAATATATTGAACAGGACTGGCCCTAGAATTGAACCCTGAGGAACACCACTGGTGACTGGTCACCAGTGAGATGTAGCTCCCTTCTCCACAGTCCTCTGAACCCTGCCCTCCAGTTCTTTACCCAGTGCACTGTGAAGCTACTCACCCCACAACATGTCCAGAAGGATGCTGTGAGGGACAGTATCAAAAGCCTTATTAAAATCCAGAAAAACTACATCTACTACCTTCCCTTCATCCACTAGGCAGGTGCCCTTATCATAGATGGGTATCAAATTAGTTAAACAGGACTTTCCCTTTGTGAACCCATGTTGACTGTGCCTGATGATTGCATTAATCTTTAAATGCCTTTCAACAGTACCCAGTATGATCTTCTCCATAATTTTTCCAGGAACAGAGGTTAAACTAATAGGTCTGTAGTTCCCTGGGTCTTCCCTCACACCCTTGTAAACACAAATAACACTGGCTAGCTTCCAGTCAGCAGGGACCTCCCCAGATTCCCAAGATCTTTGGTAGATGATAGAGAGGGGTCCTGGCATAATGTCTGCTAGCTCCTTCAGTACTCAGGGATGAATCCCACCAGGGCCCATCTATTTGTGAACACTCAGTTGATACAGCTGGTCCCTTATAATTTCAGTGTGCACAAATGGAAAGTCACTGTTCCCACAACCATGGTCCTCTGATTCAGGGGACTGGGCAGCCCAAGGTCTATCAGTATTATTAAAGACTGAGACAAAAAATGCAATTAATGTCTCTGCTTCTTCTTCATCCCTGTTAGTCAGATGGCCATCTTTAACACGTATCAATCCACTATTTTCTTTAGACCTCTTGCTATTAACATACTGTAAAAAGGCCTTCTGCTTATCTGAAACAACACTGGCCAGTTTCAACTCTAATTGAGCTTTTGTGTCTTTTCCCTGCATAAACGAACCACAGCTCTGTACTCTTTCTGCAAAGCCTGACCTTACTCCCAGATATCATACAGCTCCTTTTTCCTCTTGAGCTCCATGAGGAGTTAGTTCCCTGTTCAGCCAAGCTGGTCTTCTGCCCTGCTTGCTTGATTTATGACACAGTGGAATTGCCGGTTCCTGTGCTTCTAAAAGGTGGTTCTTAAAGACTGACCAGCACGTGTGGACTCCTAAGCCCTTAAAAACGGATTCCCAGGATACTCTGCTAAATAGCTCCCTGAATAGCTTGAAGTTTGCTCTCCTGAAGTCCCGGGTAGCAATTCTGCTGTCCTTTTTTCTCACTACATTCAACCATGTCATGATCACTGTGGCCAAGGTGGCCACCTACCATCACATCCTCCACCAGTCCTTCTCTTTTCAAAAATAGCAAGTCTAGGAGGGCATCTTTCCTAGTTGGCTCACTTAGTACCTGTGACAAGAAGTTATCTCCCACAAACTTCAAGAATTTCCAAGACCTGCTTGTCAACATGTGTATTGCATTGAAGTAGCCTGAAAATCAGGGACCTGAACTGTAGAGGGTAGATCTGACCTTTTATGGTGTATGCACACTCCTCCCAGTCTGTGAACTCCTGGAAAAAACATACCTTACACACACGCTGATTTGTTTTTAATATAGATTACAAGGAATTCATGAATTTACAAAGACCTCTCAGATAACAGTAATCACACTTCACAGGAGCCATGCAGTTAAACTCACATGCTTCAAATTCCTTCAATACTGGCCCAGAAAGCACACTGAGAACCTGTACAACATCTTGGAAAATTCTCTCCCTTTTCTTTTGACCAGGTGACAAGAACATTTTCTGTAAAAAGCTGTTTCACTGAAGAATACTGCCAGTGTTAGGGCCAGAAAGCAAAAATAAAAATAATTTTTAAAAACCCAAACAAATAGAGAAGCAGATCTCTCTCACTGGATCCTGGACAAGTAGAACAGGATGCAAACTGGAACCAGGATGCAAACTACAATTTTTGGAGTAGCATTCATTTTCAGATGGATTCCCAAACTAGCTAGCTGTGCATCGGATAAGACCCAGGCTCAGCCAGAAGGAAGGAGTGGGAATGCATGGCTGAGAAAAAGGGGGAAGGACAGGACCACTAGAAGCCAGATGCACACCAGTTTAGACCACGCTCAAATAGCTCTGCACTTGCAGTACTTTGTGCACATCTGCTGGTACAGTCTACTGCCATTGGCAATTTTACTCTTTTTTTTTTCCTATAATGGAAGCAATAACCATTTTAAATCAGTATAGGTAATATGCAGAAGCAAATAAAACTTATTTTGAAACATTTTTGTAAATTTAATAATTAATCACTTCAACAGTGTGTTGCATTTTAGTAACGAATGCCAAACAATGTCAAACCATGTTTGACCTGCTTCTTGTATCAAGAAACATAAAAAGCGATGACCAGAGGCACAGCATATGGGAGGAATGCAGTTCCTCTGCTATTTAAGACAAAATAATCTAAATATTCCAATTCCTCACAACCTTGGAAAGAGGGAGGGCAAGACCACAGCAAGCTAGGCTCGTAAAGGCAACCACCTTTGAAAGGCACTCAGGTTCAGTAGTTGTTGTTAATCCATAAGCATCACATCCTTAGTCTACTGTAAATCTATTTATCTGCTCAGCTGACAGGACAGTTATTTCCTCTTTTGTGATTCTACAGTAATAT